TTATTAAATTATTCTGTATTTTTAATTCGAATAGTGCTTAAAATATATTGTTATATTATGAAATATATTTTTATAAGTAAAATATTTATGTAATATTTTGTTATTAAATACAGCGTCTTTCCAATTTACAAAATACTAATAATAAACCAAATTATTTTAACATTGAGAAACACGTTTTTTTATTTGAAAAGATTAAATAAAACTTTAATTTCCATTTTATTATTAAATGTAAAAAATGTTTAAATAAAGTTTTAAATAATAATTAATAATGAAATTTTTAATAGTTATAATCAAACAATTTTAATAATTTATCCGATTTTATAAATAAAAGTTGTAAGTTTTTTAGTAGGCCTATATATATTTTTTTATTTATGATGTGTAAATTCCATTAAGAAATTAATCGAGATAATACTCGCGCTCACAGTTATACACATAGTCATATTTATACACAAATACTTTGTTTATATATAGGCTCTATGTAATTGCATGTATGGTGAATTATAGACTATATGATTACCATTATTCATTTAAGAAAGGTTATTTTGTTGTGTATGAATCATAGGACTATATTTATAAGAGTGCTTTACGTTGAAATTCAGAATTACAAAATATAATTGTCACATTGAAATTTAATATTTATTTAATAATTAATATAACGTAATATTTTACGTATTATACAACGTATTAATAACAAAGTTTTAAATGAAAAAAAAATTCAAATATTTAACTTTTTTAATCATTTTCATTGTTATTTATTTTAACTATTTAAATTGTTTTTTTTTTCGTATTTACTAACTGTAATCTTAAAAACAAATAAACATTTTGTTATTTTCGATTCTTTTTAATTTAAAATTTAAGAAATTAATTTTAGAATATATTAAAATTATTAACATGTAAAATTTAATGTAATGTTCTAGGAATTATAATACCTGAATTATAGTATAATACAGGATTATACAAAGATTTTGTTAATTTACAATAAGATACTTGTGGATTATATGCATATAATCTCCACGGATTATAAAAATTATTTCAATATATAATAATAAAATAAAAATTAATTTACTTATAAAGTTTAATATCGTATTTTTTTTTGCATATAATTGATATATCTTATATAAATAAATAACAAATTTTAAAAGCTACTTAAATTTATTTTGGTTTTATTTTACTGTATTCATTTATTTTTGTAGTATTATAATTCTATTTTACTTTTCGGTTTTAAATTTCAACAATAAATTAATTTTAAATAAATGATTGCATAACATAAATTAATGTCTATGCAAAACTTGTTAATTTATTGGGTATTTAACTATATTAAAAGATTAAAAATATGCTACATTTGTTATCGTATATATTATACGATTTATGTTAAAATAGATTATGATATTTTATTTCGTTATATTTGGAAATTAAGGAAAATTAAATATGTATTTCTTTAAAATTTTTAAATTTTTGTCTGCTCAAATTTATAACATCAAAGCAATAGATATTAATATATATCGTAAATACATACGGTATTATATACACGTGTCCGTTAGTAAAGTATAAAATAAAAATATCATGCATTATAAAGAAAAAATTCTAACATAATTATATGTCAAAAATGTATTAAGTAATAATGTAATTGAAACCGCATAACGAATATGAGATTTGTCCATATAAAGCAAAAATAATTTTAAAACATTTCATAAAAATAAACAATTAACAATGTAAATGCGAAGATTAACTACAATTTTTCCTAATTTTTTAAAACTAGGAATCAGTAGATTTCGTCTCAAATACATAAATAAGGCGTTCAGGCGATTTCAATCTCAATTAGCGTCTTACCAGTTTATGTTTGTCACTCAACATTATGTGATATTTACTTATATAATAACAATAACATCTTCAAAAACATAAAATTTATTTTTAATGCTAATTCCTATTGTTATTTTTAAGTTTATCCTGCGCTATACACGGTAGCGAAAGTATTAACAACTAGATTATTTGTTGAAATAGATAAAAAAAAAACATCTAATTAAGGTTAGTGCTAAAATTATATATTTGTTTTTAAAATGAGCAATTTTTCCTAGTTAAGAACAACTTACATACACGTTCCTATTCAAATTATCCTTTAAAGAAAATTTCCTTATACAAACAAAATTCTATTTTATAATAATAGATTTTGTCACGTAAATTAATTAACCATTTCTATTTTATACATATGTATTTTTTAAATTAACCTTGTAGTTATTTCAAATAACAAATATCCACAGCTGTGAAACATCTTTACAGGAATTACTACATGATTAATAATTAGTTTATTGTATATTTTTAACATGGCATTTATATATATACACATATAATAAAGTTTGTTTTGATGTATATGCTTTTCACAATAACAAGATATATATATTTTTTATTATTGATAGAAATAAATATTTATACAAATAGATCTGATATAGTATCAAATTAAATTAGAAAGTTTCCAAATTATTATATATTATCCATACCTTTTTAAAATCATTATTTAGTATAAAAATTTTTATACAAGATAGAAACACTTCGAAATTTGAAAAATTGAAAATAATTAACAATAATATTAAAATTTTAAAATTCTCATTAATTAATAATATTTAATAATTGCTAAAGGAATCCCGAAGAGGCTCTTGTCTACCGTTTCTGATTAGATCTCAGGATTTTTTTTAATGAAGGATCCGGTCCTTTATATCCTCCATCATTCTTTCTCTTTAAAATTGCTTCTCTTTAAAAGACAGAAATAATTTTTTAAATGTTTAATTCTTATTTATTCGTATGTTTTTATTAATTAATATTATCATTTTGTACGTTTGCGAAGAATACTATAAATGAATCTAATTTTAAATTTCGATCAATTATTTATTAAAATTAATTTTTATTTGCTTTTAATAAGCAGTTATTTCAATTTAAAATATTACTGTATTATTTTATAACATTATATTTAACAAAATTACTATATTTTATAATTTATTTTGTACAACATTCAATTGATTTTTTTGTTTTTATCGCCATCTACCGACTTAAAATGAAACTAATCATGATATAATTTTTTGTTTTTTGATATTGTGCTCACTGAAGAATTTGTTTTATTAAATTTTTAAATATTTATCGAACAATTAAAGCATGCTGTTTTTAAAAAATGTTAATTACTTAACTATTTATTTATTTTTAATCTAAAATGATTGTATTTAATTCTAATAAATAAACCAGCAACGAGTTGCTCAACTTTTCCGGCAACATTTAAACTTTTGGTGACGCCATCTGTTATCATATTATTTTATTTTAAAAACTTTTATATATTTAACTATTATAAAATGATAAAAAGCTTAATTTTTAAAGTAGGGATGGGTTTTATAGAAAAAAATTGTAAATGCAAATATGGAGTAAAATCGTCATTAAGTCCGATCTTACTCGAGATACACATGATTGCTTTATCTCCCCACCCCCTCGACTTCTAATCACCAAAATTTAATAGCTTCAATTCCCCTAATATACAAATCTCCGTGCAAAATTTCAGAAGTTTTCAACAAAAAGCACAGAAGTTATTAAGCTTCAGTGTGGACAAAATCGTGCCCCCACACACTAACATTCCATATATACAGAAATTAGCCCCGAATTTTTTTTTATTTCTCGACGTTTCAAGGTATCCTAAGTCGAAAAATGTAGACATCTTCAGGGGGGTCATTTTTTGACCGATCGCCATACTTTTCCCCTGTTATATATAACAGCCGAAAAAGTAATAATTATCGAATACATGTTTATATATTACTTAGAGAAGTCTTTTAGCTTTGGAATAAAAAGTTTCTACG